GGACTTTGGCGGATGGGCCGGCCACTTGAGCAGCGAATTGCAGAGCCAAGATGTGTCCCTAGCGCTGACTATGATAGCTTATGACAAACACATCGCCTCATGAAGAAAACAAATATTCAGGTCTCGGGCGCGTGTCAATGAGCTTAGGCTCGGCTACGTGGCAATGTTGATCTCCGACTTCCCTCAAAATCTCGCAACGCATTGAAGGAGCCTCTGCCACGGCGAGCATCATGCTGCCATGCTTGCTGCCGGAAATCCGGAACGCGCTTCTGCGGAAGAAGGTTTTTGACAACTCCATGCGCCTGCTTTCCGCTCGCCGTGGAAATCCAAATCCCAACGTGTTGCAACAAATTTGGCCGCGCTCGCGTCCAACATCGCGCACTTGCAATCAATCTGGGTTCTTAGCGAAATGTCGCAGATGCTTTGCAATTGAGAGCTGTAGCTGCGAAAAGGGCCGGAGATGACGCTTGAATATGCCACAACAGCCCCCCAGAATTCGTTTGCGTATGCGGCGCAGCCACCAAAGCGAGGCTTGTCACGGGCCCAAGAACACCCTTCGTGTGCACTGCTTCGCTTCTGAATCCGGGAGTGTTCCACTTTGATCCGGGGTCGAAATCAACCCCCAGTTAATCCCTAGTCAACCCGCAATCAGCCTCCCTGTGATCAAATAGTTAGGGTTATACACTAGTGTGAACTGCAGACTTTTCTTTGGAGGACCAGACTGGGAGGAATTCCCAGTCCGAGAAGTACTCGATCCTCACTGAAAAGGGAGGGTCTGCATCAAGTTTGCGCCAACCTTACTCCGAAGCTGGGGCTGTTTGGCGCAAACAGAGGACCCCCATGAGCGTTTGGTTCTCGAAGTCAGTCCGACACTCGCGCTCAAGCGACACAGCCGCGTTGACGCGGGCGCAGACTTTGGATTGGCGCCCAGCAACTCCATGACTGGCTCGGTCAAAGGACATTTCCTCTCAAAGCGACACAGCCGTGTTGATGTGGGCGCAGACTTTGGATTGGCGCCCAGCAACTCAATGACTGGCTCGGTCAAAGGACATTTCCTGTCAAAGCGGAGGCTCAGCTGGCCGGGAGCTGACGCGAGCAGGTTAGGGCCTACGCACTTTATGCAGCCGCTTTGATGGCCTCGCAGCTTGATTGCCAGTGGGGAAACGGATCTTTAGACTTTCACTTTTGGGACATTTCAAGCGCTTTCCATTGAACCCATTCAAGCCACAAACCGTTCAGCTTTGGCAGAGGGGTCAACAGCAACCAAGGCAGCTGTTTCAGAAAGGCGTGTGACCCAAGGCGCTGGTTTTTGCAAGGGATCGTGCACGTCTTGAAGCCGCGCAGCCCTCAGCCTCATGCTGTTCGCTCTCTGAATGACGCCGGCCTTTGCCGAGCGGTCGCCACCTGTCGCCACCTGCGGTCTGCGGCAGTTTGGGGCACCATGCCTTGGTCCCGATCCGCATGCCGGATCGAGGCTGGTGGGTTTCGTATGTCGTTACACCTTGCGGCTGGCCTTCAGTTTGTGAATGAGCCAGAAGAGTGTGTGCCCATATTGCAGCCGACACATTTGCAGCGATTGGCTGCGGGTGTGCTTTTTGCTTTTTGACGTCTTGAAACTTGGTGCTTGAGGATGCTGACTCGGCAGTGGCAGTTTTTCGGCCCTCAGTGGCACCTCTTGTGGCAAAGCCGCTTTCTGCAAGTTGTTCTCTTGAAGAGGGCAGACGGATCTTGGAGAGCGCGCCTTCCAAGCATCCGCACGCAGATCAGCGTGAGGTGGTGACTTCACCCTCGCGGCACAGGGGTGTGCAGCTGTTTGCCCGCTTGAAATGAGGGAACTCTTGAATCGGGTGGTTTCGCTTCGGTTTCCCTTGAAACCATCCAAAAAAAGGGTGATTTGCAGGATGATTCGGGAGCTGTACTCAAGCACTTCCAGTTTTTCATGCCTGTTTAGATGCTTGGTTTGCGCCCGCGCCCGAGTTGCAGCACGCTTCCACACAGACCTGAGCAGACAGCTGCTGCTGCGCGCTTTCACATCGGACTTGCTTGGTTGGTGCGGAGGCTGGCAAGGGCGCCCGCAAACCTCCCGTGCCGCCTGCGTGCGAAACGGGCCTGAGTTGGTGGGTCACTGCCCAAGATCCTGGGCATTGACTGCGACGTTGAGCTTGGCGCTGGAGCGGATGAGCCCTGGCCGTTTTGACTGTTTTGGTTTGCTGTGTGCCCGACACTTGCTGGGACGTGCTGTTTGACTGCTTTCCGGACACGGCTTTCGCAGGGTTCAACGCCAGCCCAGGCTTCAGCCATTGAAGGTGGGGTGGTCAAGGGCGTCTTCCCGTGTGATTCAAGAAATGAGGCAAACCGCAGAAGCGAGTTGCGTGGGTGATCTCATAAGCTGCCCTTGTGCTTGCGTAAGCTGGCATAAGCACCTTGGCAAAGGATTGGCTTGCGAAGTGGGTTTGAACAGGACCTGCAACTGATCGCAGCTCTCTTGACCACCTAGCTGACCTCTGCTTGCCATGGTGTGTGCATTCAAAAACGCAAAAATCGATGCGTCGCGCGTTGACTTTTGTCGCTGCCAAGCAAAGCCAAAGAGACACAGTTGTCCGCAGGTCAGCGAAGTGGAGGTCATTCCTTACTTGGTGTACGTAAGTTCTTCTGGGCGTGGCCGGTTTGCTAAGATCAGATGCAACTTGGCGCCTTCTGGAGCTTGCCTCGCCGCGCGGAACTTGGTGCGATTGTTGCCTTTGCTTTGAATCATTTTTGTTCCCCGTGTTCTATCCCCTGGAAGGCTCAGGCCGAAAGGCTAAGGCCGCCCGGAAATAGGTTGGTGCTCAGCACGTGTCTTAATTCAGAATTGCGGGTAAGGGCAGGAGGTCTTCATTACTCCCAAAGAATCATCGGAACTCATGTAGTCTGAAGCAACTCACCTTTGTCAGTGGATATGCGCGCTCTATCTTTTTCTAGGTCCGCTGCTGGTGTAAGCCGACTTCCACAGCTGGCAAAATGCCATGGAGTAGGCAGGACCAGCTGCCTGATCTTCTCTGCGTAAAGGATGCTGCAGAAGGGCAGGCAAGACACGGGAGTCTCCCCTCAAAAAAAGCTTCGGATATCACAGTCCCTCAATGTTTCCTGTAGCTCCAAAAGTGGCAGTTTTATCGAACAAGAACCACGTAGTTGCAAGTGTTGAAGGGGAAATGCAGTGACCCCTTTATCACGCAATTGACCCGCAGCCTGGCCGAGCAGGTGGTCCAGGCGCTTGGCAAAGCGTGCTGGCAAGGTGGACCTAGCTTGGTGTCTGGAGTTCCGGATTAGAGCCACTGCAGTCGAGACAGCGTTTGGATGAAGAGTTGAGACCGTGATGTTCTGAATGCTCACCAACCTGCCCACCTCAGCTTGCCCAAGCGACTTCGAGCGAATTGTGCGCGCGTGTTCCATTGTAGGAAGACTCCAGGCTGGCGCAATGGTGAATGGTAGCCTGCAGCACATATCACCGCAATACTGTTGTATGAACTCAAGAACTCATTCCATATCCCAATTCCACAGGTGTGCATAGCCTGCCTGTTTTTCACAAGGGTTTTGACGCGTCATAAAGGTTGCGAGGTTTCTTACCAAGAACTGACTGCGCAAGATGCTCTTGCAGCTACAATAGCTACGCATCCCACGCGCAAGCCAACTCCAGTTTATACCAAAATTATGTTCACACCACGTGTGAACACAGTCCGGTCTGGCAACGCCAGCGGTTTCAGCACAGAGAGTTGCATGCCAGCAGCCGTGTGTCTTTTGGACGGGCTCCGCCTTGGCTGCCCTGAACTCGCGAGCTCTTCGCCTGTCACGCAGGAGATCAGTTCCTTGTGTCCAAGTCTCAGGTGTGTGTCAGTGAGCTTAGGGCGGACTACATCCGTGGCACTGATCTTTGACTGCCCACTCTGAGTCGATTTGGCTTTATAAAAAACAGCTCAGCAGGAGCTCCGCAAGGTCTGCCTTGCCGAGCTTTGAGGCTGGGGATTTGGGGGCGGAGAGGCGGTGTCCGGACAGCTCGTAGCAAAAGGCGTGGCGTTGATATCTTTTTTCGCTTTCGCCTCGCAACGGCACATGGCGAACTTGGAGTAGCCCGAGGAATTTCAAGAATGGGCTCAATCAAAGGATCAGAGAAGCGTTGTGGCCGCATCGTAGCCTTTGGAGCGGCCCTTGCCCAGCCCTTGCTGCGCATGGCTGCACGAAGCTTTCGCGACAGGTGAGGCCGGTGAGCCCAGTTGACCGCAGACTCTGACGTTCGACCTGCACCATGCCTCAGCCTTCATCGCTTTGAGCGGCCAGCGGCCTGGCTTTAAAAGAAGTGGCCGGAGTGCACAGGGAGGGCTTTGCGAGTCACGAAGCAGGCTGAGGGAGGTGGAATTGTGAAAGGTATCGAGCTGGTCATAGTCGTGCTGAGGAGACCCTGAAAGTCTGTGTTGATGCCGGGGGAGGACACACATCATGTTCCACTGGCATGTGGATCCTGGTTGACTTGAGACTCTTTCAAGCGATTGTTTCTCAAACGCTCATCATAGGTAACGGGTTGTTCATCATTCAAAAGCAGGAGGCCTTCAAATCCTTCAACTAACATGTTGTGTTTCTTGCTGCCGGTTCCACAGCAGTTTAGACGACTCGTGTGCGCCGCGCTTTCATAGCCCAAGGCATAGGCAAAACATCCGAGCAGCTCAGCAAGGGACATTCCCAGGAAAAAGCAGGCCCTAGGGATTCTTTGTTTCCTGCTTAGCGCAACGAGATCTTTCATGCAGCCGTGTGCCTTTAAAAAAATAACACTTATCCCAGGCGGACTCACAGGAAGACAAGGCACTGAGGTCCTGTCATATCCCACATGGGCATACCCTACCTGTAGGGATACCCTTTCTGGGTTTGGTTTGGGGGACCAAAGAAAAGCCAACCTTTGTTGGGAATCCCTTATGACACAAAAAAATGTATGCTCACTAAACAGGGGGCAAATTAAACCCCGTTTTAGTGTGGAAAGAAGGACGGCACATTTCTCAGATTTCGCCTGCCATGGCTCCCGCGGACTTCGTGGTGGAGGCCCTCAGAGGAGAGCACTTGGAGGTGGGGAATCAAAAGGCACAATACCCGATGGTTTCCGAAAGGAAACCTTGCGTACCATCTGAGACATCTTGGTGCTTGGTCAAATTTCAACAAGAATTCAAGTTCTGTTCTCCCCTGAGCATTGGAGGGGGACCTCCATTGGAAGGGTTTGGACTAAACGGTTTGGCCCTCAACAAGGCAACCATTTGCTGAGCTGCCAAGATGCCAGCAAGGTTGGCTGAAATGGAAGCACGACTCCAGCTTTCTCAAGCGAAAGTCAGAGGGCCTTCTTTGGACCCTGCGATTTGTTTCAAGACCAACGCACTTGGCTTTCCTTTGGTCCCAAATCAAAGCAAGCGAGGGGAACAAGTGTTCCATGCGCTGAAACCACCCGGTTTGGTGCTTGGATTCGAGAGTCGAGCTTCTCGCCTTTTTTTGTCAAGCAGAATGGGATGTTGTGAGCGGTGGGTTTTTGCACCGACCTGTTTGTTCAGGGCTTGAGGCAAAACACAGGAAAAGCAACACCTGAAGAGGGGGGTTCTTTGGGCCGCCCTAATGCGTGGGTCCCGGGACCCAACAGTCCGCCGGGAGTGTTTCTCGACGTTTTCGGCGAACACGTGGCGAGGCGGCCGCGCGCTTCCTCGGCGCCTTTGCAGGGCCCGCCAGGCTTCGAAGTTCGGCAACCAACTTGCCGGTTCGAGAGGTTTCAGATGGTTTCCTTATGGTTTCCTATAAGGGTGTGGCTCAAAATTAAACAGGAGGGGTTACGCGGGTTTTGGTCCATGTTTCCACTTAGCAGGGTTCCATTTTGGTACCGGTTTTTTGATCCACAGCCATAAGGGAATCCGCAAAAACCGGTCCATTCCCAAAGTTTTGGATTCCATTCTGAGGCAACCAAAAGCACGTCTTCGTTTTGTGCTACTCGGAGCAGGAGACTCCAGACTCCCAAACGGCTTCCCAAACGGCTTAGTATAATTGTGGGCTCCCAGCATTGTCCTTTGGAATTACCTGATTGGAAGAATCAAGTCAGTTGAGAGTGGGTACGGGGTCAAACGGTTAGCCATTTCGGATAGTCGCCAACCACCGGGGCAACTTCAGTGAATGGGGGACTCGTAAGTGGGTTACCGCCTGGGCTTGCGTTTTTTGAGGGCACCTTTTTCAGGTTGGTTGAAAGGAAAAGTGAAAGGACAGCCGCCATTTTTTGGGGGTTCTAACCCCTATTTCCACAGACCTACCCAGGTTACTAGTACTATAAACTTACTATTTTTGCCTTCTGACCCCTTTGAAGGCCTTCCAGCCTCATCCCTCGTAGGGAACCAGCCGCCCTTTTTTGCAGCCAAAGGAAGCCCAACAACTGTGAATTTCGGATCAATCAGGACCGTGCGACTCAAAGGACCCCGCCAAAGAATCTTTCCTAACTCGGGATTTTTCTCTCAAGTTAGCCGTACGCGCAGATCACTCCTGATTCTCGCTAGCTAAAAGGAAGCTTCCCGATGCGCAGGTGGGAGGACCGCCTGCGGGGTGTGGCTGCTGCAGTGGCGAGAGGAGAAGGCGGCGAGGTCTGCGGGGTGGCGTTGCTGGACCCGGAGATGGGATGGGAGGTGCGCAAACTGGTCGCGGACCGGTCGCTGGTTCGACACCACCCCCGCCGGTGCCCAGCTTGTTGTTTGGTGATGCTGCTGCTGTCATTCCTGTAGGGGGTATGAACGTGGATGGGGGGGGGACCTGGAACCTGATAGATATGATATGATATGGTATGATATGGTATGGGATGGGATGGCATGGCATGGCATGGCATGGCATGGTATGGTATGGTATGATATGATATATATATATATATATATGTATGTATACATATATATATATACATACATATATATGTATATATAAAATACAAATATATATATATATATATATGTGTATGTGTATGCAAGAGCCAGTTCTCTCAGGTGCACTGCGGCATCCCCGGCCTCGGCTCGCGGCTCGTGGCCGCCGCTTCCGCCTCCGCTGCTGGGGCCGCCTTCGCCGCCGCCTCCGCGAGCGAGGCCTTCTGGGCGCGGGGGTTCCAGGCCTTCCCGGGGCTGCTGGCGCAGGCGGGAAACGGAAGGCGTCTCGACTTGACGCGCGAGGGAATGAGTGTTGAATGAGCCGGTTTGGATGTGAAAAGGGAAACCAGAGCAAAAGAAGGACTTCTCCCAAAAGTCTCTGGCGTTTTCAGTTGTTTTCAGTTCCTGCAGAGTTCAGGTGAATCTCCCACCCTTGGCTGGAAGTTTCTTGGCGACATAGGAAGTGGATTGTTTATTTCGGGGTCGTTCCATTCAAGGAATTCAAGGCTGGCGGCTCCCTCAGTCGTTGCTATTGGGCAACGGATCTCAAGACTTTAAATTTGTTGGTTGATACATTCGGATTTTCCGGATTGAACCCAGAAGAAGTAATTCACATTTTGCAGCGGGGTCAACAGCAACCAAGCCTACTGGCCACTTCAGCTGGAAACCTCAGGCGAATTTCCACTTTTGGCTTTGGACATCATCTTTTGAGGCAAGTTATCCGATAAAAGTAGTCTAAATGTAATCGTCTAACATCATTGAACATAATCTAGAATATAAATGCCCTTTCGGTGGGGCGATGTTTTTAGTGGCATTGAATCCTCAAATGATTTCCACCATTTCAGGCCCCCTATCAAATTCACACCCATGTTGGTTTCATCATTCCCCCTACTTGCCAACAGAAGATTGAAACTAAGCCATCGACTTGCATCCTGATGCAGAGATGTGTCAAGACATGGAGATTGGACCAGGACCCAACACGAGCCGAGTCCCTTTGGCCTTTGGCCTCGTCTTTCGCTTCGGTTCCGCAAAAGCCAAGCCAAGAGCAAACTGGGTGCGTTGGAGTTGGTGCCAGGAAGGCTCTGACATCACATCCTGGTCGCTGTCCACCTGCTTCGGGGATAGTGGACAGGCAGAAGGCTTTCCCAAGTTTCCCATTTGCTGAAATGAATACGGTTCATGTTCCCCTTCTATCTTTTTTTTCCAGGGGGAGGGCGAATATGCCAAATGGAGGTCACTGTTTTCGGACATGGCCAGCACTTTGGGAGGCTTGGCACCTTAGGTCGTGTTTTGGCTGCTGGTTCCTTGGGTTATTTCCCCTTACCACTTGGAGATAAACTTTAGCTTCTCAAGAGGCGGACGCCCCGGGGATTACTGGCCCACATAGCAACCATGTCCGAGTTGCTCAGTCTTCTGCAGGGTAACAGCGCCTAGTGGACACAGCGCTAGACAGGTTCATTGCCAGTAGCCTCTCCGTCCATTTGGGCTTCGGGGAGGGGAAAATGCCAAGAGCTAACTGACGCGCCCATTAAACTGTCCGGTTGAAAGGCTCCAATCCATTTCCCAGTATGAAACAGAATCAACAGCACTTTCAGTGCCATGGGCCCTAATGTGGACCCCATATGAATCAACCCCAGTTTGTTAATAGGGGGGTGTCCCTGGGTTCAGTGAGGAATCATCACTTTTGGAGGGGAACCCACTTATTATTAAGAAACTAGGGGTCGATTCATATGGGGTGAACATTACCCCCCAGTTGTTCTTTTTTTAACAAGGTCTTGTAGAAACCCACATGGCAAGCGTCAGGCTCCGCTGATTCGGGAGAAGATGGATCTGATGATGAGCCCCGCCTTGAACCCGACCCGAGATGTGGTTTGCGGCGTTTCTGCCCGTGGAAGAGGTGTCTTTCTTTGGGGACCGTGTTACTTTGGTGGTTCGGAACCAGGCCGTTTGGTTCCTTAGGTTTTAGGTGTGTTTAGTGGGGTGTGTGTGTTTAGTGGGGGGGGTCCATTGAACCCACTAAAGGTTGCTCACTTTTAGCAGGGGATCTGAAGCCAGCCCAGTTACATTGCATTAACATCACGTTGCGTTTCCTTGCATTGTGTTGCATGGAATTGGATTGCATCAGATTAGTTTAGATTCTGTGATATTGCAGTCCATTATGTTGTAGCGATGCATTTTGACAGAACCACCCTCCGGAAAACGATGAATCCACATTGTTTGTGAGATTTGATGTTGCCACACTCGTCTACATTTTTGAACGATGTTCCAAAATCAAGGTCGGCAAAGCTGGGTTGGCGCAGAGCAGCTTTCCTGCATGTCCCAAGCCGGGGTCGTTAGCCTTGTTTTGGGAAGAAAACGGATCCCCTGAAAGAGAACGACAAGGAGGGTTTAGCAGTCCGGTTCGCAGTCCGGTTCCCTAGGTGTCTTTAGTCGGTTTCATAGGGATTTCTAGTTCAGCCACTAAAAGTTAACTTCTCGCAGGGCATCTGAGGACAGTGAGGTGATCCCAACTCATTCCCGGCTTACCGGCAGGCAAACGCGAGACGGCTGTTTCGCATGGGGCAGGAGCTGGGATGGGTGTTCTTGACCCTCAACCTGGTGGGAAAGAATGGAGCCGTTTCGCTAAGTAAAAGGTCCCCTCTATGGGGCCTCCTCCTATTCCACCAATGTTCCATCCTAGAACTCCCTGCGGCCTGATTGGACGCTCGTTTGCGGTACCAAGAGAATACACATTTTTCCACGACCCTCGGATGAATCGGATGAATCAATGCGGCGCGCTGTTGTTCAGTCCTTGAAAATGAAAAGGACGCTCATGCAGTTTTCTTTGAGTTTGACCCACTGGCCTGGCCTTTTTGCATCGGACAGCCCTTTTTCAACATCGAAGGGTGTTTGCAACCACCGCTGCTCGAGCAATTCCTTATGTTGCTTTGGACTGTCAAATAATATTGCAACTTATTCATTATTTAACTTTCTGTTGGTTGAGCAATAACTCGGGAATTCACGCGGTAGTCTAAGCATTGCTCAAATTAAATTCAAGCTAGCATTGTTTGATGTGTCTTGGACACGAAACATTTCCCGTTGCAACTAGGTCAACAAACTCTTTACTACACATCCTGATGCTCTTTCAATCTCTGAACGTGTGATGATGTAATGTTCAATCATATGAACACACCCATAGTTGCACTTTGCTACTGCCTACATCCCATCTTCTCATTTGCTTTCGCCATTGGCGTCCGAATGCATTGTTGCTAAGTTGGACAAGAAACTATACAAACACTTGCACACACACTCAAACACACACACACACACACACACACACACACACACACACACACACACACACACACACACACACACACACACACACACACACACACACACACACACACACACACACACACACACACACACACACACACACACACACACACACACACACACACACACACACACACACACACACACACACACACACACACACACACACACACACACACACACACACACACACACACACACACACACACACACACACACACACACACACACACACACACACACACACACACACACACACACACACACACACACACACACACACACACACACACACACACACACACACACACACACACACACACACACACACACACACACACACACACACACACACATACATCACAGCCACACACAGATCACACACACACACACACTTGTCAGATCAAGCTTGTTGAAAGTAGGATGCAAGTCCAAAAACAGCACTAGTAGCGGTCCGGTCATTTCTGCAGTGCAACACAGCCAATTTTATAGCAACCCATTTGTACAATATGTTGGTCCCGTTTTTGCTGTAGACGTGTGTTGCACCAGCTTCCTTCCTTTGAAGAATAGGACTATGTTTATGAGACAGAACCGGGCTTGTACTTTTTCAGGGTACCCCAACATGCCGCAACGGTTTTCCTTTCGGTGTCACTTAACCACAACAACAACCAGGTACCAACTCCACAAACAGGAACGCCCCCAATTGCATTTCCGTTTGGAGACCTTCCATCGCATGGCGTGACCAATGGGGCAAAGGGAAGACAAGCAATCGAAGGATCTATCAGCTGCTTTGAGTTTCCTACAGAATGTGGGGCCCCAAATTGCCAAAGACACGCCTCTTGGGAGAAGAACCTGCACGACCGTGTCGGGAATCCATGCTGCCAAGGGTGACCTGTTTTAGGACGCAAAGTAATATGGCCATGAATTTACATAGGGAACCACCTCACAAGTTTCCTGATGTCGACCAATAGGGTTCCCTAGTAAAATGAACGCCCATGTACACGGTTGTTGTTGCTTGGAAGTGGATGGCACAATTCCCCCAAATTGATTTCACTATTCCCCCTTATCAACAGAAAGGGAGCTGTGCCATCTACTTTTTGTCCCGGTGTATATTTTTAAGTTTTCAAGGCTCCCCTCCATCAACAACCACGACACAGGATCGATAAATTTCATCCAAGGCGCGGGGCATCCGGGGCCACCTCGGATTGGAACGCGGTGAATGAGGGCGCGGCTTTCGTCTCGGCGGTGGATGAGCGCGGCGAGGTCATCCCCGGTCGCATCTTGAAGGCCCGCGGTATTTTGTTGAGGGTAGCCTTTTGTCAGGTCACCCGTCAGGTTGGTGGGGTGGATTGGTGGTTTGATGGTTTGATTTGAGCGGGGCCCTGGTGTGAAAAAGCACCACGCGGGGGGGGGGGGTCCTCAAACTGGGGGACACCCTCTGTAGGTTTGGTTTAAAAGATCGTGATGTTTGACGAGGGAAATATGGGGCTCCCTGTTTCCAGGCAGCCAAACGCTTTTTCGTCCGTGTCGAAGCCATTGGCAGAAGCCCAAGGCGGTTGAACCCCTTCAAAACCTGCCTAAAAGAGGTGCCTTGTGTTGCCACTCTAAACATCGCACTAAGAAACTTCATTGGGCGATTTGGGTGATGTTTAAAGCCGACAGGCAGAGTGTCATTCATGTCCAAAACATGTTTAGACCCCTGGGTTTTCGCAGGCAAATCGCAAGGATACTGTTTGGAGGGATGAGGACCAAAAGGGCCGGGGGGGCGGGGGTGGGGGCGTACTTGGACTTGGGGCAATTCGGACCAAAGGAACAGCCCAGCTGACTATCACTTTCCGGTGAGGAGATCTGGTTGGATTCCATGCGTTGGGATACGCCAATCTTTTTTGGTTTTCAAAAGCGAAGCCCAAAGGCAGAAAGACAATTCAGGAGGATCAACGTGGGAACGTGGGCGAACCAATTGGGGTAAGGGTAACCGCCTCGTGGGTAGTCAACCGACAACGTTTGTAAATTACTGTTCGTTTCGGGAAGACATATGAGCCATCATCAAAGCCGATTTGGGTAAGTGAAGGTTAGTAAGGAACACTCAGACGTAAATGGGTGCGGCCGCCTTTTGGTTCTTTACATGGTTTTGGGTAGACAATTGTTACACCAGATTTTGAGTATGACTCGACCCGATTGTCCCCCAAGATTCCAGGAAAACACCCCGGTTGTGAGAAGATGGGGGTTGATCAAAAGGTCCTTTACATAGGATCGTTGGTTCGAAAGTCACTAAAAAGATTAGATCTTTCCGCTAGGAACAGGTAGCTACCCATGGTCAAATCGGGGGGGGGGCCCTAAAATATTGATCAACTCCCAGAAGGGACAGCCATTGCTATTGAGGTGCAGGCGGCTGCCTGTGCTTCGTCTGCGGTGCTGGAACTTTTTGCCTCACCCCAGGCTCGGGTTCCGAGTTCCACGCGCGGTGGGTGGGGTTGGTGGGGTAAGCCTTGGTTTGGATCGGTTTGGGGGTGTCTTTTCTTTAGGGAAGCGCTTTAGGCATCCCCCCAAAATTTCAGGAAACCCTAACTGGGGGCTTGGAATTGTGCGGATAGCTTCTGGTTCTTGTAGAGGGTAAAAAATCGGAAGCCTCCCCAAAAGGCCGAACCACCCATCCAAACTACCCGTGGGAGGGGAAGCTGACCTTAGTTGGTGGTTTGGATTTTGGTGGTTGTAGAATTGAAACCCTGGTTTAGCGGGTACATCGGAGACCGCCTCCAAAGCTCCAATGATCCAATCCAAGCCATCCTTTTCGAGGGAAGCCGTACCTGGCTTTGCCCATTGTCAACTTTCGAGTGGGTCGCTTCCAGTTGTTGTTTTTCGAATTCCCCTTTCCAAATCGTTTGTCAATTCGCTATCTCTAGCTGGGGGTTGACCAAAAGGTCCTTTACATGGGATGACCACGGGGAGAGCTGCTGAAAAGCTGATCTTCCCCACTAAATTGGAAAAGTTACCCATGGTCATTTGGGGGCCAAGAATATTGATCAACCCCCAGCTGCACTTGTCATTGGATCGGGGCTGTCCCATTCTCCCTTAAACTCCCAAGATATCACCCCCATCACTTTCAGGGTAGAATGTTTTTGAGCCTGTCCCAATAGTTCTGCCGTTCTATCTGTAGCTGCGCATTCTCGTCAGGGACATTTCCCTGCAGAAGATGGGCCAAATGTTTCTCTGAAAGAATCACAGGTGAAGGAAATGAACATTGATGAACAACTCCTTCAAGGCTCCGAAGCAACATAAGGCCAGGCGCATCCCACCTCCAGGAAATGTGGGGAGTAAGTTACGTTCAAGGCCGGGAGGGGGGACAAAGGCTTCAACATGAGGTTCGGCATCAGACGGAGGTTTTCCAGTACGTTGCTTGAAGGAAGGAGGTTAGTCAGGACGTGGCTTAAAGTAAGGAGTTGCTTCCTGAGGTGGCCAAGGTCCAGGCGTTGTTGGGACTCCGTTTCGTGAAAAGCCCATGGATCGCCAGGTGGTGGAGCGTGTGCGGCAGCTGTATGAGGCCGGCGACTTGGGAAATGCAGTTTGGGGGTAGGGGGAGCTGGTGGGTGGGTGGGTGGGTGGCCAAAAGATTCCCAGGCGGGGGCACGGCTGTTGCCGGATCCTGTTTGCTATGAGTGATTTCAGGGCTGGGAGTTGGGGTTGGGTTGGGTAAAACCGGATGCATGGTTTGGTATGTCGTGCGAAGATTCATAGCGAGCGAACCGATGCTGGGGTAAATCGAGCTCAGCCAGGATGAGGTTCCTTGCTTGGGCATCCCTGAGTTCCACCGGGTGGAGATGTTTTGGTGCCCAATTTGTCTCTACCCCCAAGGAGTTTATTGAGTTTTGGCCAAGGATCACACCCGGTTTTGCCTTCCTTGCCTTGCGGTGTTCCTTTGGCTTTTAGTTGGGCTTCCTGAAAAACCCCGGCCAGTCCCGGTGTTCCCTGGGTTTGGCCTTCGTTTTCGGCCCAGGTGTTGGGCCAAGAGGCTCCGAAGCACGTGGATGTCTTCGGCACCAAGTTCTTCCCCATGTGGCCGGGGGGCGTGTCTGTGCACTGGCACCAGGACTCGAACCAAAGGAAATTGGTTTACCTGAGATCAACTTGGTGACTCAAAAGTCGAAGAATATTGGATTGCCGTCAAGTCGAGATGATGTTCTTGGTCGAACCAAAGAAGTTGGGTGTACCTCAAGTTGAGAACTTAATTACTGGTGGGTGAAGAAGCCAGAAGGACGCGGATGGGTCGAATACACGTCACGCAGTTCCCCTTCAAGCCGTGGAGATCCATTTAGTTGGATTTGACTCAAGTGCTGAGTTGCCACTGCCTTTTGGTCGAACACAGAATTGGACAAAGTCAAGAGGCGGAAATTCCAAACAGGAAACAGGACCGCGACCGCAAGTCGGATCCTGGGTCTGCGAATATTGCACCTGTGTCCCACTTCTTGAAACATTGTCCCCAGCAAAGGACTATGTCACAATCTTTCAATACCTTTTGGTGGCAATGGTATTTAGTTTACGTAGCAATGGCTTTAAGCCATTGCTCTGCATGTTCTCGTGACACGCCTCCGCACTGGAACAATCAAGAACTGGGCAGCTGGGAAGTTGCACTTTTTTGAGAGAACACGCCTTGAACATTGTAGACCGTTTTGGGTCTTCACCGGGGGATCCACCGACAATTGAGCCACAATCAAAACCCGGGTAGATCAAGGTTAGTAAGGGACAAACCCAACCATAAATAGTTGCGGCCGCCTTCTTAATTCTTTACGTGGTTTTGGGTAGACCATTTTGATACCGGTTTTGATTCTGACTCAATTGCGGTAAGTTTCACGTTGGTTTAGGAGACTCTGACAAGTCCTGGGCAGTTGACCTGGCTTGCAAACCACACAAAAGCTTGACAAACCCTGAAGGCTCAACAAGCCAAACGCCGCAGCAAAAAAATGTGTGCTTTTCAAGTTGATTTCCTCTATTTAACCCCCCCCCCCCAAGAAAAAAAGGGGGAAAAAGAACAAGAGAAACAACAAAGCTGCTTTTTCGGTGGTTTCGTCGACAAAGCAGATTCTGCAGGATGGCCACTTCTTTGGGACTGCATCCCCAAGGATCATCTCTTGTGGCATTTACCTGGAAGACACAGACGAGGAGCCACCTGCTTGGCGCGGGGGAGGAGTCGACATGGCAAGATCGAAAGCAACTGCAGGGCTCATGACATTCCTGGGTGACTCGATATTTGACCATATGCTTAAAGAGATTGGTTCAATACTGCGACGGCTACGTCAGGCAAGACTCGAATCTGAAGCATGCAAGTGTGAACAACCATGCGCAATGCACTAACACGAAGAAACATGAACACAACGTTTGAACAAGCAGGGTGGAATTAGCAAAGCGGGCAACCACCCGAACTTGTTGATAGAATAACACACGTGCAACATGCACGTGCGCACATGCACTTTCTGATGCTCAAACAGGCATCTTGGGTCACATGAAGGGCTGAATATATGCTATACTCACATCATGACCTAGTTTGGTTCAATAGTACCCTGACGCCCCATTCCAATGAAATTTGGGCCCTAGTTGGGTCTCTTTGTCGATCTGGGATGATATATACAAGAGTTGATCAATATTTTGCGAAACCCTCATGGTCACCCCCTTTTGCTCAAATTCCACAGAGGAACTTCTAACCATTCCACTTGTTTGAATATTAACAAAAAAAACAGGACACACACTTACGCACGCTTAACAAAAAACAGGACACACGCTTACGCACAATTACACACACACACTTACACACACACACATTTACACACACTTACACACACTTACACACACTTACACACACTTACACACACTTACACACACACACACTTACACACACTTACACACACTTACACACACTTACACACACTTACACACACTTACACACACTTACACACACTTACACACACTTACACACACACACACTTACACACACTTACACACACTTACACACACTTACACACATACACACACACACACTTACACACACTTACACACATACACACACTTACACACATTACACACACTTACACACATACACACACTTACACACACACACACACTACACACACACACACATGCACACACACACACACACACACACACACACACACACACGCACACGCACGCACACGCACACACACACACACACACACACACACACACACACACACACACACACACACACACACACACACACACACACACACACACACACACACACACACACACACACACACACACACACACTTACACACACTTACACACACACTCACACTTACACACACTTGCACTTACACACACAACACACACACACTTACACTTACACACACACACACACATGCACCACTTGATACAATCATCTCAGCCAGGCTCTTCAGGCAAGAGGTAAGGGGATCCGTTTGGCCAGGAGAACGGGTGCCTTCAGGTGGTGCCTGGGTCCCACACACGGAGCTTCGAGCATGTGAAGGGTGAGGGGCTGCATGCTCAGGGGGAATGGGCGCGCCCAGGCGGGGGGGTCACTGAGGGTTGGGGCCGGGTGGGGGGGAAGGATTTTTTTTTTTGGGGGGGGGGGGGGAACGTGGTTCAGCTTTTCGCAACAGCCAAGCCAACGGTTCCCCATTTTTTGGGTCATCAACCAACTCTTCCAACATGAGCCACAGGTTCTTGATCTTTCATGCACTCGGAGTTTTACAGTCTGAGTCTGGGTTCTGTTCCATGACCAACAGAAATGTTTTTGTCTGAGAGGGTTGCGACTGGCCCCAAACCTAGCCACAGGAAAAAATAGGGTACATCACCAGTATGCGGGTTGTCTAGCGCTTTCCTTTGGGCATAATCAACAAATGGAAACGGGGGACCCTGAGTGTGCGTTCCTTTGTACTGGACCCAGTCACATTGACATAGAAAGGAAATGCCGGGGGATTGAAAGAATGAAGACTGGGGGTGTTTTGCTCCTCGGCTTGTTTGTAAATCACCCCACAATGCATCCTGGATGAAGCCAAATCCGACAGGAAATTCAAAAGCAAAAGCCTTTGGAGTAGAAGCAACACAAGTATGAGCAGCCTGTCTCCAGAGAAAACTGGGGTTGGTTTTCATGTTTCTTGTCGATTTGCCTGGCCTTCTTGCTTTCGGTTGAGGTTTTACCAACAAACTCAAACAAACTCGAGAACAACAAGCAATGTACATTGAAAGATGACTATTCTATATATGTTCCAGTCCCCATGCCACCAACCCCCCCCTCCCCAAGAAATAGGGCCACCCCCCCCCCCAGCATCCGGATCCCCACACCCCGCTGCTACGGTCCCCACCCCCTCCTCGAGCCCCTGAACTTGCACCCGACACGTAGGACAACTCAACCCACAACCAACCCCAAACCCCAACCCTAAACCAATCCTATGCCCCTAACCCTTAATCCGAACCCTAAAACAACCCTAAATCAACCTTAAACCAACCCTAAGCCAACCCAAACCAACCCAACACCCGCCTAAACCCACTGTAAACCAACCCTGAACCAACCCTTAACCAACCCTAAACCAACCCTAAATCAGCCCTAAGCCAACCCTATACCCACCCTAAACCAACCCTAATTCAACCCTAAACCAACCCTATACCCACCCTAAACAAACCCAAACCACCCCCCAACCACCCCCTAACCACCCACCCAACCACCCAAACTCCACCCGGGGGGGGAGGGGGGGGGGTCCACGGCCTGGAACACATATGTCCAAGGCAGTGCACGCTCACAGTCTCCCGCTCCTACTGGAACCCCCCTCGAGACACACGCCGAAACTGAAACAGGCAGAGCTGCTAAACACGGCCTTCCCGTATATTCAATTCCGCAGGCCGTTTCTCTCGTACCAGTTGAGAGCTCGTTAGACATATTTGTTGTGCCATGTTAAAATGTGTTTTTTAATTGAGATCAAAGGGAGGAATCAAGCACAGAATAAGACACATGAGGAGGTTGAGCAAACATTTCGAGAAGTTGAGGATTCTGTTAAAGAGACTCTGGCGCATACTGGGAACCAAAACAGGGGCGTTTGTTCACATTTTACATTTCAAGAATCACTAAATACCGATTGTCAAACACACTAACATTTGCCATGTTGCTGTCAAAAGGTGAGGTACTGGCCAAAGGTAGAAGCCTTTTTCGGTTCCGTCCTGTTAACGGGTCCTTTTCGGCAGACGACTCCGACGAGATCCTGGATGTGGTGGTGCCTGCCGGGTCTGTGGCGCTTCAGCTTCAGATATCGCCAGGGGGGGTGGGGGTTCACGAATCAACCGGTTGCTCCGATGGGTGGCTCGCCTTTTTGGACAGATCGTGCATGTACCTTTCTGGACGCTGCAACAGTGGTTTGTGGAGAAATCCAGTTATAACCCCTGTTTGAGGGTACCCGTTTTGGGGTGGTTTCAGGGGAGTCAAAAGGAGGCCGTTGCCATTTTTTTTTGGGGGGGGGTCGCTTGAAAGGGGGGGATGAAAAACGAATCTCCCAACTCTTGCCTTGTTATTCTCGGTAGCCCCCATGTTCAGACCAAATTCAGCAGTTGGGATGGCTGGGGCCAAAACCACATGTTTAAGTCGAATCTTGGCCGAAAGGGGGAGGAATCCGTGGCTCTTGGCTTTCGCCCTGCAAAAAATTCAACTCATGGCATGAAGCCCAGAGCCCGACTTGCCGAAATGGGAGTCTGGAAGACCCCTGAAGTTGTTGCCATGTGAGGCTTATGCAAGCGGGGTAGGTTACACACGCAACCCACGGAGCAAACCCAGTTCAAGCAGCAGCTTCGATCTTTCAGATGGTTGCTCCTCATATCAGCGCGCTGTGGTGAGCCTGCTACCACCTTGCATGTTCTGAGCTTTACATATCAGGGAAAACCTCGGAGATGATGACAGCTTGAGAATTGTCCCCTTGCCTTAGCAAGGCCAAGCCATTGCTACCCGTCGCGGAGCCACTGCCCGCTCAGGTGCTTTTCAACTCCAGACTGCTGCATTCGGCCAGGAGGAATCAGCACGAAACGCGCACGAGGTATTCGTTGCACCTCGGTCGCTTTTTTGCAGCCCATATAATATAGGCCCTCCCTGGGACTCTGCGGACGTTTGTGGGCTTGGATGTTTGTGTGGGTGTGTTTCCTTGTTTTGGAACTCGCATTTGGTACCCAAAGGAGACCAACAATTTTTGGATTTTCCCCCTGTTTCGGGAGACCCATTCCTGCCAAGTGTCCTTTTGCCTGTGAAGAAACCAAAAGAGGGTCCGAACAAGGGGGTCGCGCATCGGAACCCACGTCACGCGTCGCCAAACTGAGGTTCGCCCACTTTGTACCATCTGACCTGAACTTCAGTTGGAGGGGTACGGATTTTTCCCACGGCGTGTATCAGGATCGGCATCAAGTTTATTAGCGCGAAAAAGGATCGGCGGCTCATCTTGATGCAAGCAAGCGTTGCCAAAAGTCAGAGTCTTAGGTGGGTCTATTTGCGTGTGTCTTTTTATAGGCTTCCCTAAAAAAAGAACAATGGCGATGCTTTTTTTGGGTTTCCTTTCAACCAACCCCACGAAGGGTAACAAATAAGAATGACGACATTGGAAAGCAAAGGCACAGAAGGAAACTCACCTGTCCGATGGGGCTGCGCAATACACTGGGCCATCACGGGGCTCACCAAAAGCAGCTCAACTGAAACACAGCGATTGTCCCCTGGAACCCTCAGCTGGACGTTGGCTGTAGCTTATGTAGCACATTTTGGTA